GGGGGGGGGGGGAGGGGGGGGGTAAGAGTTGCCGGGAAGTTTACCCAAATGGTTAACAGTTTCCTAGATTAAACTTATCTACAGAAAATAGTTCCTACAACACTTCCGTAACACCCCCCCCCCCAAAAAAAAACAGGTCCTGATTTTTTTTGTTTCTTTTCTAAACCACCAAATGGTGTACCGTATCTAAATTATGGCACGGATGGTAGAGAGTAACCAAACAATACAATTACAAACATTACCAGAATTTTTAATTTTTTTAAAATCAACAACAAAAACACAAGGTTATTTTCATTAATGTTATCACACACAAAAAAACACATGGTTTGAAAGATTTGTTTTTTTTAGATTAGTTGCAAGTTGTTGTTTTTTTAAACAATCAAGAAAATAGATTCTGGTCAGTTCTCAAGCATAAATTTTAAACTTGGTGGACACCAATCAGTGACTGGCCATTTTAGAAAGCAGCTCAATATTTAATTTTCAAAACATATATTTGCGCAATATTTTAAACAATTATAATTTTGCCACCCTCCACTATCATTCCTTGATTCAAGAACTTTGCACTGGATGCCACACCTCAGCAGTCTAGCCTACTTTTAACTGATTCAAACATTTGGTTTTTTCATTAGTGCTAGCACTATTCATCACATCTAAAAATTAAAATACGTCACATCCTCCCAAAAGGTATTACCAAGGGGATGTCATTTAACTTTAACCTAAAAATAATATTAAAAGAGGGCCGTTTATATGGTCACATACATCATATGCCAATTAATTAAATTTGTATATTTTAAAGCCTGTAGTTGAGACATTTTCTCCTGAGATCTTATGTCCAGTAAAAAACAAGCCAAACAGGTAATGTAAGAAGAAACAAGATGGCTGCCATCAATTTGTTTAATGGCTTAACAGCTCATGTTCAAGTCCAAATAGAAAGTATTTAAGCTTCAACAAGGTCAAGGTCACTAGCATACTTACTTTTCACATGCAATTATAGTTATAAATGATATGCATTTTCTTTGTTGACATAAATACTTACTGAAGTGAAAGACCATTGGTCAACAGATGTTGGAATCACTTGCTTAGAAATATGATCTTCTCAAAGCCTGCATCAAAGCATGACCATAGGTCAGTGGTTCTCAACCTTCTTAATGACGCAACCCTTTAATAGAGCTCATCATGTTGTGGCGACCCTCAGCCACAGAACTATTTTCGTTGCCACTTCATAACTGTAGAGCATATGTGTCTTCAGATGGTCTTAGGCGACCCCTGCGAGAGGGTCGTGCAAACCCCAAAAGGGTCGCAACCCACAGGTTGAGAACCGCTGACATAGGTAAACTTATATACTGGTGACACCAAACATCACCAAACTCAATTATGTGAGGTGAAAGGATTCATTCATTAAAAAATAGGAATTCAATGCAAGAAAGGTGCTCTTTTCTGAAGGTAACAAATTAAAGGATATATCTTACAAAAAAATATTTGATGGATGATAAATTTATTGCCAGCTAATTAATCCCTTCAAGGCAAACAAGCTGTCCTTGATCATGCTCATCTCTGGATTGGACTGTGTGACTGAACCAACAGTTTCTTTTGAAAACGAAAGCGGTCGATGTTTTGGTGGTTTTCTTCTGTCATTCTAACACTTGTGGTCGAACTGATACGGCTGTTGTGGATGTACATTCGCATTTTGCCAGGCATCCTACCACATGTTAACAGTGGGAACATAGATTTTCATGTCTATCGATTTTTAAAAAAATATATTTATTTTTAACAATCTGTTGTGACAATCTATCTGGCATAATTTATGACAAATTAAAGCACCGTAATAACAAACAACCTGAGACCAGATTAAACGATTCCAGAATGTCAGATCTCGTACCCTGAGACAAGAAGGATCAAACCTCTGCACCACATCACAGCACATCAAGGGAAAAAAAAAACAAACACAATCCTGTTCTCAATTGGTACAAACATGTACTCAAATAAAACAATCACATTCTTAAATGATACATTAATGTTCTCAAATGGCACAATCACTTTCTCAAATGGCACAATCACATTCTCAAATGACACAATTATTTCGTCAAATGACGCAACAAAGTTCCTACATGAGACACAGATCAATCCAAGAACATCCAGGCACAATCTCTGTAACATCTGCACACAACTTTAAGAAAATTTGTCCACTTTGATGGTGAGTGGCACTTCAGGACGACGGACCACAGGGAAACCATCAGCACCCTGCAGATGCTTTCTCTCTTCTCTGCTGTAAGAAACCATCAACAAATAGTGAGAACAACAAGTTACCCTAACAGCAAGACATCTTAGTATCTATGGACCAAAACTGATCATATTTTTATTTCCCTAGGGTGCAAGACCAGAATATTTCAACAGTGGAAATTTCCTGCAGGTGCACACTGAAACGCTTTTGCAAGTTAACACTGAACCAAGTAAGTGTGTGGGAGAGGGTTTTTTCCCCCAGCTTCATGACTGGTTCAAACAAGCAAAAAGGAGCCAAACGGATCTATGCACATTATTTAAGTGTTTCAGACTAAGCTGCAGCTACAGTTATTACTGGTGCTTGGCCCATCGCAGACTTTTCACCAAGTTTTATTAGTATAGAATAACTTGGCCTACCTCAAAGTTTAAGACAACTGCTATTGGCATTTTTTTAAAATTAATTTTTCAATTTTTATTGATTTCTTAAAATTTAAATTAAATAACAATTTTTTTTTTTTTATTCACAAAATAATTTTTCAATTTTAATTTTTTTTTTCAAAACAACTGGTGTTGAAAAAAAAATACAGACACATATTTAAGTTTAAAAGATTGAAACCCATGCACATAAAACTCCCAGCAAGCACTACTCACATTCTTTTCTTTTCCTCTGCCAGTTGTTCCAACAGTTTCTGTTTATCAAGATCCTCTTGTGTGGCAAAGTCCTCTGCATCCAGAAATCCTTTATCAACTGACAGCAGCTGAAAAAAAAGGGGATGAGTGTGTTAAGACGCTTTGATCAGATTTTTTTGGAGTAAGATGAAAAAAAAAATGGAAATACCAATATATTTGACAACAAAATGGCTTTCCTATCCAAAAATATGAGTGGGCAAGTATGCTTGTTACAACTGTGGTAATTTTTGCATCATATTATAATAAGATTTAAGAGAGTTGTATTGGCTGCCGGTGCGTGCTCGCATAGAGTACAAAATCGCAACTTTGTGCTACCGCTGCTTACATGACCTGGCGCCGTCCTATCTGAAAGAGCTGCTGACGCCTTATGTACCCACAAGAGAGCTCCGCTCATCCGATAATGGCAAACTCTCGACACCACGCGTTTGCCTTGAGACTTACGGAAAGCGCACTTTCGCATTTGCTGGTCCAACAATTTGGAACGCCCTTCCTGTCGATCTTAGAAACAACCAGACACTGGAGTCCTTTAAAACCGATCTAAAGACACATCTATTTCTCAACAATTTGGAACGCCCTTCCTGTCGATCTTAGAAACAACCAGACACTGGAGTCCTTTAAAACCGATCTAAAGACACATCTATTTCGCAAATACCTTCTGGGATGATTGTCTACCTTATTTTCCATGTGTTGCTGTGTTGCTCCGGGTTGAAATGGCTAAAAAGACTTTGATATTGTATGCTTGTAATTAGTTTTTGTAGTGTTGCGTTTGTTTTAAATGTGGTGAATTATAGATATGTTTTTTGTTGACTTTGTACCGCGCTTCGAGCCTTTGGGGATGAAGCGTGTTTTTGAAATGAACTTTATTATTATTATTATTAGGTAATCTGTGGTCAAGCTGAGAATGCCACAGACCCAGTTTATTAAACAAGGTTTCTTCAAGAATTACTTGGTGTAAAATCCATCCATCCATCCCTGTGACGAAACAGCCCATGTAGGGCTTTGGCCTGCCTCACTACTTCCTTCCACCTAACTGATGCTTTTCTTTTCCATGCTTGGATTACCAGTTGTTTTAGATCTTTTTCCACATCATCCATCCATCTAAGCATAGGTCTGTCTTTAAGCCATTTTCCTCTGTGGTTTTGGTTGTTCACCCTCTTCACTCCTCTGTCATTTGGCATTCTTTTAACTGTCCAGCCCAGCATAGCCTATCCTTTTTTATTTCTGCTGTCACCATGGGATCCTGATATAGACTGTACAATTCCTGGTTGTTCATATTTTCCATCCATATTCATCCTTTGTTGATCCATATATTTTCTGGAGAACTCCTCTCCTATGTGTTTAGGTTTTCTGCCGTTTTTGTTAGGATCTAAGATTCACTTGCGTATGTTACAACTGGTCTGATTACAGTTTTGTAAATAGTTTTCTTTGTTTTTCTTGTAATGTTTTTACTTTTGAGTATTTTCTGACTACTGAAAATACTGTTTCAGGCTGATATTCTTTCTTTTTTTTTTTCTTTCAGATTCGACGAGGCCTAAGACAAGGAGACTCGCTGTCTTGTATGCTGTTTAACCTAACATTATAGAAAGTTATAAATAAGAAGCATACATAGTGACACCTGATGAACAATTTCAGGATACTTTCTGAGGGAAACCCAAGACCCACAACCAATGGGCACTCTCTACAATCAACTCCTTTAGTGTCTTGCATATGCTGATGACATAGCACTCTTAGGGAAACATAGTAAAGACATATTAAAAGCCTTTATTGAATTAGAAGAAATGCAACACTACAAGCAGGGAAAGAAGTTAAAAACCAATAAACAAAATACACTAAGCTTAATGGCACTTGCCCAAATAATGGAAATAACAGTGATGTTGATATTGCATTAGAAGGCAATGTTGATAGACCCGAATGGCATTCAATTGACATTGAAGAATTTCAGGTGGGACTACTCCTAACGTTGACTTAGTTTAATTACAATTTCATCTTTTCCCTACAATTATCAGCAATTTTTTTTTATGACTTGAAAATATTTATTTTCAATAAATTGTTTAAGTCAGCAACTCATGGTAAAAATGTAGTTACTTCCCTTCGATTGGTACTGAAGGCAATTTCTTAATGTGTGCTACAATACTGAAAGGTTTAAAACCACTATTATCCCTCTTGAAAAAATAAAACTAAACCACTGTTGAGAAAGACTAAAGAGTGTTCACTGACCTTGACACCAATGAGATCTCCATCCTGCACATAGTAGGGAGCTTGGCGGAGGTTCGTCTTGTGTCCTGACTTCTTTTTATTTTTACCCTTATTTTGTTTCTGGAAGGGAGGTGAACATGTAGAGAGGCAGTTTAAAGGGAGGTGAACATGAAGACTTACAAATAGAAGAAAGCACACCAAATAAGGAAGAAATAGCTCTGGCCATTAAATAAGGGAAAGCACCGGGATCGATGATGAGAGCTGATATAGGTACAATAGTCAACATGCTGCACCCTCTGTTTGAAAAGATATGGGAAGAAGAGAGAGTTCAAAAAGATTGGAAAGAAGGATACCTCATCAAGATACCAAAGAAAGGGGACCTCAGCAATTGTGCAAATTACAGAGGTATTACACTGTTGTCTGTACCAGGAAAGGTCTTTAACAGAATTATTTTGAATAGAATGAGAGACCAGGTCGACATGCAGCTACGAGATCAACAGGCCGGCTTCCGCCAAAACAGATCATGCACAGATAAAATTGCAACATTAAGAATCACTGTAGAACAGTCCATCGGATGGAACTCCCCACTATATATAAATTTTATAGACTACAAAAAGGTCTTTGATAGCCAGGACTGACAAACCTTGTGAAAACTTTTTTGGCATTATGGAGTATGACTTTGACTTGGCATGCTTGTAATTAGTTTTGTAGTGTTGCGTTTGTTTTAAATGTGGTAAATTATAGGGGTTTTTTTGTGGTTTTTTTTTGTTTTTTTTAACTTTGTACAGAGCTTCGAGCCTTTGAGGATGAAGCGTGTTTTTTAAATAAACTTTATTATTATTATTATCAGGAAAACTAGTCAGGATCATTCAGAGTTCTTATGAAAAATGAATTGCAGGGTGGTCCATGGAAAAGCGAGATCAGCATTTGTGCTATTAAAGAAAATATGGGAGTCGAAGGAGCTAAAACTGCAAACCAAAGTCAGAACCTTTAACACTAATGTCAAAACAGTTCTACTATATGGAGCAGAAACTTGGAAAACAACAGCAAGCATTACGCAGAAAGTACAGACTTTCATAAACACATGCCTTAGAAATATCTTGAACATCAAATGGCCAAATTCCGTCACTTACAAAGATCTGCTAGAAAAGACTTGCCAGGTGCCCACTGATGAAGACATCATAAAGAGAAGATGGAGGTGGATAGGGCATACTCTCCAAAAACCCTCAGATAGCATCACCAGACAGTCTCTAACATGGAATCCACAGGGATAAAGAAAGAGAGGAAGGCCAAAGAATACATGGAATACATGCAAGCTAGAGGCAGACACGCAAAATATGGGATACACCTGGAAGCAACTGAAAAGGAAAGCCGTGATGAATGGAAAATTCATGTGGACAGCCTATGCCCCAGATGGGGTAAAAAGGCATAAGAAGAAGAAGAACATGTAGAGAGGCAGTTTAAAGGGAGGTGAACATGTAGAGAGGCAGTTTAAAGGGAGGTAAACATGAAGAGAGGTGGTTTAAAGGAATGTGAACCTAGAGAAATACTATACAGTCTCATGTTTAAATTGTGATGATTCTAAAATGTTGTCTTGGTTAAAATATGTATTTAGTTATGAGCTGAAAATGAATATGGATAATGTATTTAAAAAACATTTCTATTTATTTGGATCAATGAAAATATCCTATTATATCTTACTGGAGGTTGATCTTTCAAGACTTGCCAGCTAAAAGTTTCTGGACAGTACTTGGCAATCAGCACGTCATGCAGTGGCAGGGACAGTCGACTGGCGATGGCCTTCTTCAGGTCTGCCGCCCCTACTCCCCCTGATGTGTTCCAGATGAATTCATGTGGAGGTCTGTAAATCCTAGTACTGCCTATTTTGAGGGTCACCATCAGAAGTATCTCGTGTACCCTGGGATCACATCCAAGTATTTCTTTTATTGCACAATTTTGAGAAATTAGAATTTTTAATTGCTTAAAAATTTTGAACAAGAGATAGATCACACCAGGAAGTGAATGGTATTCAATTTTATTGAAACTTTAAGATTCCCAGCTGGAACATGAAATATATTAATTGGAATCATTTCATTTGCATAACTCTGTAAATTTATTAATTTCGTTTTAATTTACATCTACAAATATTAACACATTTTGTATTTTTTAATGCTTTTTAAAAGAGTTTTGGCTTTATATTATAAGGTTGTTTTTTTTAGTGTCTTCTGTAATCCATCATTTAATATAATGTTATTTAAACTGAAATAATGATTCACCGCTATTGTTAAATCACCTTGACTCACTGGCCTAGCCAGGTTTAGTGCCGTCCACAGGGGCCAAGATTTTTTGCCATCCCTTTTCATAAAAAACCCAACAGTTGGCACAAAAAGCCGCCCATCCATATAGAGAAAAAGGGGCCCCCCTCTGCTCCCCCCTCTTCCCACACCAGAACCTTGACTCATAAAAGCTGATGTTTCATTGGAAAAAAAAAAAAGAAAAAAAAAGGGGGGGGGGTGGGGTGTTGTTTTGCTGGAATAATTATTTTCAAAACTTTTTCAGGTAACAGTAACACAATGATGTCATGGCATAACAAACACAATGATGTCATGGCATAACAACCTTGACTGCTCTGCATTAAGGTGATAACCTACACTTTCAATTGTTGTGTTCTTGACATATTCACAGTTGAATTTCTACTCACCCTAGATTTTCCTCAGAATTTAAGATCTGAACAGCAAGAGGGATACTCTCTTTAGAATTAGTATGCCTGTGTAAAAAAAAAAAAAAGGATCTTAGAAAAATCAGTCCAGTTATGCCAGACTATCTAGAACAGGGGTCTCAAACTCAAATCATCCAGGGGCCGCAAGAGGTAGACAGGTAGAGGCTGAGTGAGACTGGGCCGCATCAAGTATTCCACAAAAAAACGATTACAAATTTTTAAAAGTACAAGAGGCTCTGAATTTCCCTCACTCGTAAACACTACAGCAATTTTAATAGGAATTCATTGATACTGTGTCAGATTGCTGCAATTTACACACTCATGGTTGTGCATTACCCACTAACTGACTTATTAAACTTTTCTCAAAACTGAATATTTGCTATGTTTGTCTCATAAAATGCTGTAAAATAAAAACTTTTAGTCCAATTTTAAAATGGTTATTACCATTATAATCAACATCCAAGTCTATACAAACATAATACAAATCATAATTAGAATAGTCGGTGAGATTCAACTAAAACCATCACGGAAGATCACATTATCATATGAGAATGGGGAAAACGCGCAGGCTGCATTATATCGTCTTGCGGTCCGCAAATGGCCCACGGGCCACGAGCTTGAGACCCCTGATCTAGAGAGTGATGAGTCAGTAATGTCCCAGAGGATTTCTTTGGCATTAAAACTAAAACTATACATAATGTGGTCCAACTCTTTAGTATAGAAGGAATCTTTTATTAGTTTGCTGAGTGATCAATGCATGCTGTAAAACTAAAGACTATCTTTGTGTTGAAAATACTCATGAATGGGAAGCTCCAGACTTGGCTGTGCAAATTTCTACAATTATTTCAATTACACTTATTATAAAACTAGTCATAAATGGTGAAATTATGGATTAATGACTCATCTTTAAAAGCTTTTAAATCTAAACCTATGAACTATATAAAAAAAATTTTTTTTTAAATTTAAACATCCCACAGATGCTTAAAGAGCATGAGAAATTCTGCAACTACTCTGTGTACATTAGAATGTAGGCATGGGGATTTAATGGAAGAATAGCAGTGCAAAAAAGTATGTAACAGTTTATTTCTAAACCAGACTTTATCAATGTGAGCTTGAGATGACTCTGGACTGAGCCAAAAAAATCTAACAAAGGATTGTCCCCGCTCACACAAGTCAGCTGCGACAACCAGGCACTTACCTAAGCACTTGTGAGTTTGTTCTGAGCACACTCCTCAGCCTCAGGGCTTCCAGCACTCTAAGCCTCATGAAGTTACATGTTGGTATCCTCAAGGCCTGGAACTTGTCTGTACCCATTAACCCTTGCTTCAGCTCTTCAACACTCATCGACTTGTTGATGACAAGCTGGAATCATAAATAACAGATCATTTAAATTAAACTATGAACCGTCACATCTAATTGTTATTTTTTACAACGCATCATGATGGCGATCAAATCCACGTACTTTACACTGCAACTTGTGTTTTACTTATCTAAGACGTAAGATAAGATAAGGTTCTTGTATGATCCACATAATGGAAATGTGTTTTTGATAACCTTGTACTCACTTAATTTCAGGACATGGATAAATGTTCTTACTAAGACCACATTTTTTTAAAACTAGAACAATTTAAACACAAGAAATCTAATGCACTTCTCGGTTGCAAAATTCGGCCATCATATACCAAAAATCCTCACTCCCTTAGTGACAATATTGAATTTAAGAATGGTTGTTTGATTTTTTAACTGCTGGGGGAGCACACTGGTATATTCTGATGGATTGGGGAGCAAATAATTTTGTTAATATATTTGTGTCCTAACCTTGAGGGAAACAAATGACAGGGATGAAGAGGGTGGGATATGTCAATATTTTTTTAGTTTCACAAATGCATTTTGCTTTAAATAGTTCTTCAAGTGAAGGCAGTTATTTTTGTGTGATAACACTGGCTTTCTTGATAAGTCTATGTAATCTGTGTTTGATGAGAGACAATGAATTCCCACATGACCTGCTTTTAAGAGATAATAATTAAAGAAATCTTAAGTTGGTGAATGAATCACATAATATTTAAAAACATTTTAAAAAACTTACACAGAAGAGAAGAACTTTGAAGAAAATTTCTCACAGAAAACTTAAACGTACTTACAGAATCATATATGACCTCCACACACGGAAACAGACATTCAATGAGAATATTGATTTCTCCATTGGCACTGAGTGACATCCTGGCTGCCATTTCCACTGTATAAAAATGATTTCACCAATATTATTCTTTCGTTAAGAAACACATGTGATTAGTTTCTTATTTTCTGAGTTGATAAATGTTTGATTTTAACATTTTAATTTAAGGGAATGTAACCATAGATGGAGTCCCAAACTCTTAACATGTAACCATAGATGGAGTACCAAACTCTTAACATGTAACCATAGATAGAGTACCAAACTCTTAACATGTAATTCATTTAATGTATGCTAAGATAAAAAAAAACACCAAGAAAAAGATGGCAACTGATTTAGAGTTTGAGTGAAAGTCCACAGGCAACTTAATTTAAACAAATTACTTGTCAACTAAAAAAAAAAAAAAAAACTACCCCCAGTACTTACAAATGACCTTGTCTTCTTCTTCCTGCCTAAAGTCATCTCCAGAACCGTTAGTTCCAGGTTCTATCTGCACCTGCATTGGTTGTACAGGGGCCAGATACACAGTCAAGGACACTTGATCCTAATGTCAAAAGCATTTTTTAAAATATCAAGTTTACATGGAATAGTCAAAATGAGTGCATGTTTATATCAAATAGTGGCAGATGAGTTAGAGGAATACAGGGATGACTGTGTTCAGGTTAAAGCAATAAGAAATATGCAAAAGATAGAGGAGAACCTGAAGGAGGACAGTAACGGAAATTGAAAGTTTTGGCCAAAAAAATCCTTTGACACCAAAAACAGTTAAGACAGAGAAAAATACTCTTAGCTTTGTGGATTAAATAGATATGTAGTCAACAGGATAAAGATTTAAAATATTTTAACTGAGTAGCTTTAGTATAACTTGTCCTCTGTTATACACATGAGAATGTTTGACTGCAATAAAGCTTTCAAGTAGATTAATAAGACATAAACAATTTGTTTTAATAAAACTTATGTATGTTAAGCTTTAATTCTGATTACGCAAGATACAAATTCAAACTTCTCAGCAAATGCCTCAGTACAACAAAAACATTAATATGATTATAAATTAAATTTACATAATATTAGTATATGCTACCTATACCTAAAAATGAAAGAAAAGAACAAAATATGAATGGGCACAAGTTCCTGAAGAAAACAAAGATTAGAATAAATGAAAGAAAGTGGATGGAAGTACAATATCAAAATCAAACAGGAAGAAGACGTTGCAGCTATGTAAAATTGTGAATTTGGTTTATACCGTATGGAGTCAACGTACAAAATCTTTTTTAAAACTTAAAAACTTGTTTCCAATATAAATTTGATCAGGTGTATTACTTGCATACAATATACCAGTAACGGCAATGTCTGATATTCCATTATGGTTAGCACTAATGAAATGTTTAGAAATGGGACAAAAGGCTTGTTTATTGGTAAAAGGTAAAATAAACATATTATTATTAGATCAAAAAAACATCTTGTGCAACAAACCTTCTTGATGACAGGCCCCTGTTGAAGTATCAGCGTGTCTCCATCATTTATCAGCAAATCAATCAACGTTGCAGCTAGGTCATCCAAAGGCTCAACTGGATCACCATAGACGTCTGTTTTACTGAGGTACCACTGGGTTCCTGTGCCCAATTTGATTAGTGGAAAGGGAAAATTTACTATGCCACCAAATTAATAATTAGAATATTAACTTAAAGCTTTCAACCTAAACATCAAATCTAAGATTCAAGGTTTTATTAAAACTTGTCTTTGATATGACTCAAAAAGCCTTCGTGATCAACCATATGTTCCATAAGTCAAGCAGCATTGCCTTTATTGTCAAACTGATTAGCGCAAAGTTAGATATCAGTGAGTAATGAAAACACCCAAGTGTCCACTCACCTGAACATTCAAAGATCTGACAAGCAGCTCTTGTCATGTCTAATGCTGTCTGGTGCCTCTCGACTATGAACTCTTTCTTACACACCAATTTACCACTCTCCACCTTGTTGATGCTGATCATCATCTAGGCAAAGAAATGGGTATGAACACTGTGTTCAAATCAGAGCTACCAACACAATAAATGTATTACCATCAAAAAGTTAAATTTTGCAGGGGTTTTTTTTTTACATTTAAAAAAAATATTTTTTAAACATCCAGTAATTTGTCTAACAGTAGCATTGAAAGGGCAATGACCTCACTGAGATATTTTCTTACCTCTGAATCTACAGGGCTCCTCCCATGTTCAATCACTAGGCACACACCATTGGAAAGTCCTGCATCTGCCATACACAGTCCTTCTCTTACTGAACATAAGAAAATAGTGGTTTTTCATGACATACAGAATAGGTCAAGACATCATTTATGACAGCTCCACACAGCCAACCTGACTTGCCCCACAGCCAACCCCTCTCCTCTCCCGCCTCAACATCCTTCTCATCCACTCTTCACTACCCTCTCCACCCAGATCTCCCGGACACCCTGGCTCAACAACCTCCCTCCATTTAGTTTCAACAGAAGTCTGATATCCAGAAGTTTACCTTGAACTGTCAAAGTTCCATATAATTAATTACATGAGTACAATGTTCAGTTCCCGGTAAGAGGGGCCGTAACCAATCAAAACATAAAAACCTTTTATGATTCTTTCCCTCAATCAAACTCACATGGAGGTTGAAGTCCTAGAGTTCTGTGTTCTTCTCTCAATCGAACTGACTCGGGTGATATGTTGTCTGCATTCAGCAGATGCAAGGCTCTGAGTTTGACATCCATAACAGTCTGTGAATATAATGTGGAAAAGTCTGATATCACAAACAAAACTGTGGATATACGTATCCTGAAATTTGTTTCAAAGAAATTTTGTAGATGGAAAATTGATCGAGGGAAATTTGGCAATATATTTTTTTCAGTTCACATTTTAAAATTTTGCGTCAAATTTCTTTTTTAACGCATTATTTTGTTTTACTATGTAATATAGTGCGTTCAAAAAGAAATTTGATGAAAATTTTATCGTGTGAATTGAATAAAAGATTCAACCAAATTTCCATTCGATCAAATATCCGTCTATCAATTTTCCGCCAACGAAATTTCTTTCAATTTCAAACAAATTTCCGGTAACCCTGGATACAGGTAGGCTCATCCAGGCATTTATTTGTGTGGCAACAATTTTTAAAATCTGACCTTAGTCTTTTCATGGGAGAAAAAAAACAACATTCCTTAGATTAAGTTGATTATTGATATGCCATTAAAGCGGTACTGCTGTTAGATTGGTAAATATTTTTTAATTTTATTATAAATAATTTTTGTTTTTAAAAAATATAACTTTTTTCAAAATAATCTTCCCTAAACCAATATTTAACAAACACTCACAGAAGAGGCTTTGGAAAAAAATGTAATTGACTTTGTTGCGTTGCAACCATCCTGTCAGGAACAAAGAGAATTTTTGTTTAAAATGTATCACACAATATTGAAATACTAACGGTACCTAAATCAGAGATTTCCAAAATTTTCCAGTTAGCTACACACTTTTAAGGTGTAAGTCTTGTAGCCATAAATTGTCTGATGTTAATCAATATTTTTTTTTAAAATTCAATTCTAATGACAATCATTAATTGAATGCAAGGTGGTACATGTATTGCTTTTCCCCATACACAAATAGGTTTCCTGTTATGTTTGTGACACACACCTACACACTGCAGCCAACACACTACTGTGTCATGACACACATAGGTTTCCTGTTATCTTTGTGACACACACCTATACACTGCAGCCCACACTCGTCTGTGTTATGACACACATAGGTTTCCAGTTCTGTTTGATTCGCACACCTACACACTGCAGCCAACACACTACTTTGTCATGACACAAAGCTTGGAAAGTTCTAATCTAAAATTACAGTTTTTCTCATCTTAATAGGAAAGTTGTGACTGATGTTCCACTTATCAGAAAGATTTGATAATGTAACCAAAAAAATGATTGCTTGCATACTTATAAATATCAGCTAAAAACTAAAAGACTAAAAAGCTACACAACCTTTAGCTATCATAATGACATTTTTTTTCTTTCAAAGTACCACTGACCTGAAATAATCTACTCTGTAATGTGATGGACCATTCAGGGTCTGAGATACCATCCTGAGGTGGTGAGCTTGTTGAGGCTTCATCTGACTTGCTGGTTATTGAGATAAAATTTTACTAGAGGCACACATTTTTTCTAAAGGTTACATTTTAACTGGGTTTAAAAAAAAAAAAAAAATCTAAAAAAACTTTAGTTATAGAACTGTAATGTCAAAGATGGATTGGGCTAATGGTGAAAGTCAGGCATTCAATTAAAGCAGGAAAAGCTTATCAGCCTAAAAAATCTTATCCCAATAGGAAACTTATGTTATAGTTTTAAAAAATACAATGTAGAAAAAAGCTTTAAGTAGTACAATGCAAGTTTCCCCCCTTAGTAGAAGCTTTATATTTTAACCTACTTGTGGAAAGTTTATATAGCATAAGGAGTTAAAAACATTAATCTATTCAAATCTATACTTTATGTATGAACCGTTTTCATCCTTAGGTAGGAAAAGTTACATCAAAATATCTACCATGTAAATTCACAGTAATTTTGTAAAAAAAAATAAAGTTCAAATAATTGCTTCTCGATATATTTTGGTCTGTAGACCTGAACCAGTTCGTGTGGCCAGTCACTGGCCCACAGAAAGTTCACAATTTAAGAAGACCCAATAAATATATGAGAAGCACTGGTCCAAGTAAATTTTATGTCCAGGCTTTTAAAATATAAAGGCAAACATTATATCTATACAGTGATTTAAGAACTCCAGGGCTTTATTCTCTCTGCAGCACACAACAATATCAAGACTTAAATTTCTGGCCACACAATCTACCTGTCTGAGTTGGCCTGTGATGAAAGAACTAGGATATCACCATCTTTTAGTCCTGCTGAGCCTAGACAAGTTGTTGGAGAGTTTGGCAGCACCTCAGCTGGCTTTGTCTCATTTTCTTGCCACTGGGAAAATTGAACACACACAAATAATGACCAGTTCATTCCCATTTTTGAAAATAGTCAAACAGCTTATTGAATATGATGCAAATCTGGCCAAGGAATCGAACAAACAAAAATTTTAAGTTCCGATAAAATTAATTAATTTCTTTTTTTTAAATGTATTCTTTTTCATATGTTCTTGTATTTATTATTTTCTACTTTGAAAGAAACATGGAAAAGAACACATGAAAAAAAAGATCCAAATTAATATTGTGTTGTAATCGAAAGGGGCACAAGACCTGCAAACATTGCACGTCCAGCTCTGTTGTACTGGCCACAGTTTCATACAAGTCTGTCAGCGTTTTATTTTTAGCAAGGATAAGGTAGCACATGACCCTGTCATCACTGGTCTTCACAAGAAACTGGAGGGGTTCGCACTGTTCACCAACATCAACACATTTATCATCCATCTAATAGGGAAAATTGAATAAATCTTTACATATATAACAATATAAATACATATATGATTTATTAATGCAAACTATAAATAAGCTTGTACATGAACTTTTTTTTTAAAAAGCTAATTAACTGGAGGCAATAAAAATAATTCTCAAGACAATATATACTTACAATATAGCCATTCCATACAAACAATAACGTGAAAGAGTTAATTCCCATGTCTTGTATGCTACAATCTTCATCTAATAACAAGGAACAATCAAAAAGACAAAATATTTAACTGGTCCTATTATAAAAATAAAAATTTAAAATAACTATTCCAATATTATAGTAGCCAGTTTTAAATTTCCAGAATGTAAAAAAGTGCATGGTTTAAATCCACTATAAATCCCTCACCTATCAATTCATCATATAAATGGTAACCTCCACATCTAGACTTCATTCGATGAACAGAAAACGTATGAATATCAAACTGGGATAAAACCTGAACAAAAGAAACAGTTGGAAATTGATTAGTATTGCTCTATAGATTCTTATGAGATCTATTCCAAAGCAGAATGCACAACATGGAAGAAACTGTTCAAAGTGTCAATTTTTTTTTAATTCATCACACAAACATTGAACTCTTTCTCTCATTAATAGAGTGCTCGGGTTTCTTGACTGTGTGTATTTAATTTCACCTCTTGAATTTTTGCCTTGAGCTGCCTGTATGCCATTCTCTTGTCTAGATCTACAGTAAAGAAGGCAGAGTCTGCTGAGAGGTCTGGCTTTAACTGCAGCAGGCCATCATAGATGAATGATTCAGACATGTACACTTTCACAGTGATGCTGTTGATTTCTATTTCATAATTTTGTCTGAAATAAAAGGTTAGTGTAGAAAAACGATCATAAAATGGTTTTTAATATATTCTTGATAAAGGTTTAAAGTAGCAAGTGTCTAGATATGTTTTTTTGGTTAAGTTTTCATGATTTGTATCAGTTAGGATTTTTTAACGCTCAAAGGACTTATCGACGTATGACAAGAAAATACATACAAAATTTACAGGGCTTTTTAAAACTGCTGCCTAAATGATATCAAGCACTGCTACCAAAACTGATATCAAGCACAATCTTGTTTAGAAATATTCATCAAATTGATGTTATGTATACTAAAGTATGAACCTAAAACACATTGCAGTACATTGTCTTGTTTACCTCTGTTTCTCTAAGGCCACATTAAGTTCATCCACTTCATGAATCAAATATGCTGGAATGTTATAGGAGGCAAGCCCTTGAGCTGAAAGTAAGTGACACAAAAATCTGATAACTTAGACTCTGTTTCAGTTGGTTAAAAAATGTAAGCATTGGGATAAATCAATAAATTTATGAACAATATTGTTAAAATATTGTTCATAAATTTATGAAAAATAAATATAAATTTTATCCCTACTTAGCAAACTAGTTGCAATGTAAAGATATAGTAAAGCTTATCTTTATGTCCCCAAACTGTTCTATATGACTAAAATAAATTTAATTTGTCACACATAGAATACTATAGCAATCAGATGTGATGGGTACAAGTTTTTACATATGAATATGATATTTTTTCCCCCTTACCATTCAATATTTAAATATTTTAAAGTTATTTAAGAAATGATTTAATGCTAATACTTTTTTTTAACTTCTTTTTTCATTAAAATTATTGGTAAATCTTGTACTGTTTTGGATCAGAAGCTAAAAGGACTTGTGAAGTATAAGCCACCTTCTATAGGTCTGTGCAAGCTCTTCCTCCTGTAGAACAACATGTAGGCACTTTCTTTCCCTGAGAACTGCCTCTCAATGTCTTTTGCATAGACTGGATATACTGTGGAGTCGTTGAAACAAAACCAACGGTCACAAGGTTCTGAGTTCTGCCCTCCACTTCTGAAATTTAATTAGATATGGAAATGGAAAATCAAGAAAATGTAATGTTAAATTAATTTGTTTGGTAATTATTGTTTTAATCCCAAGCCAAATTTCTCCTTTCACATATAAAATACACATTTTTCTAAATAAAACTTTTAATATGTGATACTAAATAAACAGCCATTTAATGATAATTTTTAAAACTTTAAAAATATTTTTTAACCTATAAGACTAAATGAAAGGGATCGACTGTATGAAACACAATGCAATGAAAACATTCTTTATGAATAGGGATGAGCTTACGAGTTTGTATTTGTTTCTGACGGGTCATCAGAGCTGACATTCCCAGCACTGGCCTTGACCTCTGATGATTTCTTCTGGGCAGCGCCTTGACCAGACCCTGAATTTCGCAGACTCACCCAGTTAGAGTCTTGGTTGTAATCGAAGGAATCACAAGATTTTAGAAACTGTGACAATGATAAAACATTGATCATACAGGCATTCACAAAAATGAGCTGCTTAAAATGCTGCTTTGTTCATTTGTCATGAAAATGGAAGCTTTATAAAACTTTTAATTGGATATTGCAGCATATTGGCTCAGAGTAACACTTTACATTTTTAAAAAAATTTATTTTATAAGCGTCTAAAAATTGCATTTATGTACTTCAAAGCATTATGGAATCTATTGCACTTGATATATTAGAATCTTTTAATTTAGGGGGAAAATGCTTCCCACACTGATCTAAAAATAACTTATTATTTTTTAAATTCTAAATAAATTATTTTTAATAAAATTATTTTTTAATAATTAACTACTAAAGAGGAAAGCGCTAAGTGATTCTGTGATATCCATTGTACAATGTTTCATTTCTAATAAATAAACTCAATAAATTACCTTATTAATTGGACCATGAACTTTCTTAAACCGCTTATTCCATGATACTCCAGTTTCTTTGGAGATTTCCTGGAAAGTAAAGAAATATAAAAGGTCTTTATTTCTTTTATTTCTTTTAAACATTAAGCTTTAATTATGACACATCTGTCTTGTTATTATAAATACCAAAGAATTTCCTCAGCCTTTACATAAACCCTTTATTCACTATTAAAAGTCCATAAGGAAATAAAAATTAATTAAATTCTAAAGTCATATTCTTAATTTAGTCTTAGCACCAAATGATTAAATTACTCACTGCACAGAGCCTATCAATGGACATGGCATTATGGGAGACTTTGCCCAGGATGTTCTCTATCAGGTCCACAGGAGACTGACACTCAATCACGTCCAAGCCAGTAGCGTTTGTGTCAACTCTGCCATTAGCAATGTTCTTCTCCTGACAGTTACATTTTTTAAAAACATTAAAGAATTTAATTTTTATGATATTGTTTAACACACAATTCAATAGTATATTTTATGCTTATTAAATACTATGCCTTTCAAAACAATTAAATATCAGTGTGACTATGAGTGCAATAACCTTTACTTACAGGCTGGACCCAGTGTCCGATGTTGTCTATGTCCCTTATGTAAGCAAAGTAATGTCCACCGAATGCACTGCCCCTGTGGACAACGACAGAGAACAGCTCATAACTTGTGTCTGCATCCTTTAATGAATCCTTTTTGAAACAACAAACATTTGCAACATGTGAGAAACTGCACTAAAAAAACTCACTACAAGAAAAACAAAATCTTATCAAGTTGACATGTTTCTAATATTTTAGTAAATATTGTTTAGACATTGTTTCCATTTAATGTGACTTTATAGATTTCTGTTTTGAGAACCATTTTTTTTCAGAGTTTAAATTATCATTTAGCGTTCAAATTTAAAATCAGATAAAATGCGAAAAACTTTTTTAAAGTTTAATTTAATTTCTTTAAAATGACTGAATTACCTTTTCAGAATAGGGCCCCATATCCAGCTCTAGGGGAAATGTAAACCTTCCATTCTCCTGTTTTGCAAAATTATTTTATTTACTAGCTCATTGTTACTTTTTTCTTCTATTAACAATTAAATATTAAAAGATAAAAATTATCTACAATTAACCATTACAAGATATAAATTATTAGGGGTGAAATTTTCCTCTCTTTTTCTTTAGACTTCATAGTTAACTTAGCTGAGATAAAGCAGATATGCTTTAGATAAATATTTTTATTCTGTAAAAACACATTACACTGTACATTAGATGATCCTCTATTACAATGATATCAAGGTTAATTCTATATATAACTTTAACTTTTAAAAAAATGTAATTAAAAAAGTCTTCTGAGTGGGGTAGTTAATAAAATTGCATGATAGATATATATACATAAATCCACACATACTACAAAATGGCATGACAAAGGGTTTCAACACTTACTTTATATCGTGTCATTTTGACGACATCAAAACTAAATCTTAGAAGAGATAAGGTCAGTAGAGGGGGCAGGTTTCTCAACTTGGCTCCCTGGATCACAGAAGTGGGACACAAATCATTTAGGGATTGCAAAACAAAAAACAGGTGTTCTCTTCAATATCAAACCAAACAGTAAGTCCTACAGTCAGCCACTGCAAAACCTGGCACATGCAGATGACACCGCTCAACTGGGCAGAAACAGCAGCGACATCATAAGAGCATTTAATGAATCTTTAGATTCCAAAATATAGTCTGGATTGGAGGTGGATGACTCAAGGCCAGGTACATGGTTTTCTCTTGTGACAGCCAAACAAAAAATTGGGATATTTGAGAGAGTAGATATTTTAACAGCTGAGACCTAAAACGAGTGAGCAAAATGAAAAAAATGACTTCTTGCACACTGAATCTTCCTATCATATAAAAAGAATTATACGTTTTACACAACCTGGGGTGTTCACATAGAGTATGTGGCACTGCCAGATGCATAGGAAGCACACAGAGTAATCAGGTCAGATCCTGACCATGCAAATTACCAGCAAAGTGTTAAAATTACCCCCCATAGATGTCCCGCTTCCCTTTTACACGTGTGTTTAACAGCAATAGTCCCTCGGGATGACTAAGGGGGAGAGATTAAAAATAGGTAGGATATACCTGAAAGTCTGTTAAAGACTGACCTCTTCAACAGAGACCTGCATAGATCAACTGTCACTGTCTTAAAAGTAAAAACTTTCAGAGTGATTAAATGGCAACAATTTTGAATTTTCTGTTAAAAAATATAATTTTATTTTAATTACTTCTAAGTAGGATTGAGTCTGAAATCTCTTTGAGCATCCCATGTGCGCATCAGTTTTCTTTCGCAAGTCACTTTTTACATAAAATCTCATCTCCAAATATGGATATATTGAAGCATCATTTCATTTAAAAATGCCTACTTTTATTGCATCTGTGTACTCCTTGCATGTCTCACAGCGGTACTTGTTTTGTCCATCCATCACCTCAACATGGCAGTAACACTGTTTAAGAGCTGTCTCAAGTCCTGGTGTCCCAGCTACGGCAAGGGTCAAGTCTAAGAAGTCTTCCTATAGATGGGCAATAATGACACTTGATTGGGGGCAATTAGTCAGTTGGGTGAAAAAGAATTATGTTAACTATATGTGATGAGCTCTTTTAAATGGTCATCCTCAAAAATATTGTTCAAAATTCTGACAAAATATATTTAAAATAAATTTGTTAAATTACTGTTTTATTTCTGTTTGATAATGTATATGAAAGTAAAACCATGGTTTTCCATAATTAAATTGGGTCAAGTATGTTTCAAACACACACACACACACATATATATGTACCGGTAAAGACATATAAATAAAATGTAATGTTACATACCTCCCTTTCACTTATCTTTTTACACTTGGAGCATGTTATCTAGAAAAACAAAGAGATGGAATCATATTCTGTTTCCTAAATATGATTCAATAGTTTTTTTTACGGTTTGTATGCGCTACATTTGGTCAACGATTCACATAGCAGGTTAATATGAGTATTCTAGTAACCTTATTTTTCTTTTTCAAAACAAAAAAACAAAACCAAAAATACAAAACAAAACCAAAAATACAAAACAAAACGAAAAATACAAAACAAAACAAAAAATACAAAACAAAACAAAAAATACAAAACAAAACAAAACCAAAAATACAAAACAAAACAAAAAAAGTGCAAACTGGCTAATCCAATTGGTTGGGTATTATCCCTAACACCACTATTGGCCATTGTGGCGAAATGTTGTCCTTCTTCCAACAGGCACAGACACACTATTGAATCAGGGCCTAAACTCCGTTTTTCTTTTTATCTGCTAAAAAAACTTCATGATATGGTTTGAAGTAAAATGAATAGTTTATATCTAATATGTCAAGACAAAATGTATAGCAAACCAACCAGCAAATAATACTATTTATCTGTGAAACAGTTGAATTTCCAGGAACTAGTGTAACAGATCAGTCACTAAATTCTTTAAGCAAATACAGCCTGACATCCATGACCAAAAACTATATTCATATTCTCCGCACCATTATATCGCACCCCTGGAAATGTGTCATAGCGCTTTCATGGCTGAGAAAAAGTGGTGCCACACATGGGGAAGTCCGTAAAAAAACATCATTGCTCAATGTTAAAATTAATAAACCAGACATATAGCATAAACACATGATATGACTGTGACAGCCATATTAATAAATATAGAATATAATATTCATATTACAATGTAATTTTGATTACAGAATACATAAGAAAAAAAGTATGTTATATCAAGCAAAAAGCCATAATTATTTTACAAATGTATTTGAAGAACTGACTTGATTGACTATTGTTCCATGGTATAGTTCATTTATAATGTTTTGTCCAGAAGTACCGACCAGTGATTCTTCTATGGCACTAAACAAAATACGATTTAGCTCTTGGACATCATGTTGCTGAAATTCCTGGTTAAACAATATTAACAAGTATTAATTTTTAAAAACATTTTTTCAATATTTTGTTGGTGTGAGTGATGTATTATAAATATCAATAAAGTAATTATTATGATCATATATCACAATTTCAAACTCAGATGTTCAATCAACCAAAAAAATAAAATAAAATAAGATTTTTCCATTTGCATACTCAAAAAAAGTTTTCTCCTTGCCTACACAGTGTGATCTTCCCATATCCAAATTGTATATTTTAAAAGTTATGCAATTGCCATGTAAAACAAAAATAATTAACAAGTAAATATTAACCTCACGGTTTGTCCAACCAAAGCTGTTGGTAAGATCAGCTGTACTAACACTTTGTTGGTCACTTAGTAACAATTGAGCAAATAGACGCTGGAGTTGTAATGGTATGACTCGAACCTGATCAATAGAAAAAAATAAAATAAAACTGTCATTTGACTTGTTCATATCTCAATTAAATTCAGTGATCATCTTCATTCAAAACTGTGCATTTCTATATATTAAATTACAACAGCTGCACTCAACACTGTTAATTAGCTACAAAAATATCTTATAAGCTGATAAGTCAGTTATTTACTAAGACATTCAGAATGTTTCATTTGATTGGTGTATTATTGAAATTTAAATTTTTTAAAAAGACAAGAATATTACAAATTATCAATTTGTCTTTAAGAGTATACAATATAATAAGTTTTCATGGACTGAACTTAATTTTTAAAACAATTTTGTTAAAAAAGTTACAAGCCTACCAGCTCTAAAATTTAAAAAATGAAAAAGCCATTTTCAAAAATATGTTGAGCCTACTTTTGCATTTGGTTTGTCTCTGTCTTGCAAGCTGCCTAGATCACCTTCTGATAAACTAAATAGTCTATCTACAAATAAAAAAAGTATTTAAAATTGTGAGAGTTACATTTTTTTTGCTTACATTATCCAAAAAGAATCATTGATAGAAATAATAATTAAAATCACAGTGTAAATAAATGTCTAAATTTTAAATAATTACAAGTTTCAGATGTTGAATTGTTACCCCAATTTTATGTAGAGATTCCACCAAATTTCCGTTCTATCAAATTAACATCGATCAATTTACCGTCGACGAAATTTCTTTCGATCAAATTTTCGGATACGATTCAATACTATTCAATAAACTTATACAGCTGATCTAACAAATACATCTTAAAATATATCAATGCTCAGACAAAGTTAAAGAAAAGATGCTATTTTCAAGTGCTGAATTCCAATAGGTAAGACAAAAAGTTCTATCTCTAATATTAGAGATATAAACATTCAGTGAGGATGGACAGATTGATTCCGTACAAGGGATCACTTTAAAAAATTGTTTAAACACACCTCTGAATTCTGGTGTCAAGAATAGAGTCTGTAACAAGGAATTAAGATAGCATGTTGCCCCCTGGTTGTCAATGCCAGCGAGTCCATATTCTGATCTGTGTCCTGGAGGCGGAGGTATTGTTGACACAACTGACAACTCTGTTGTTTGTGACCCATTTTCATTAAACAAATTTCCAAACATGGCATGTCATGAAGATTTCTTTATCTGGGAGAAAAAAAATTATCATTGACATAGAACATAAGGCCTATAATAAGTTGTACAACATAAAATTAAGCTATGACCAAAAAAAATATCAATATGTCATTGCAATCACTGTTTGCAGCACATACAACTGTTGTTTTTTTTCTACTGCTATTTCATTTAAATTTTCTTGGAATAAGTGAAATTTTATTCAAGTTGTCTTGTTGATACTAAAAACCTGCAGTTCTTGATTTATGAGGGATCAAATAACAAAATATGCAAAAAGGCTTTCGCTGTTTGAATTTCATCCAGGATCATGCCTACTATATGTAAATAGATGAGTGGAAGTAAGTTGTTAGCCTAGCAAGACAACAAAACTTCAGTCCTCGTGACCTGACTGGTGCTTGCATCAACTGCCACGGAATGACACTTTTGTCTATTTGTTGAGGGTTTCTCTTCTGGTAATTTTTTTGTAAACAAAAGACTTCTCAGGAAATATTCCCATCCCATGAAATCCAGAGCTCACACTTTATGAGTACATTTTTCTTGTTTTTTTAAATTTCAGCCAACACAGAATGTCACAAATTGTAGCTATAAGCCAAGACCTGTAAAAATTTAGTTTTAACAGCACTGAATTACTAAGCTCAGTAGCTCTAGTGCACAGGTTCTCAAGCGTTTTCAGGTCACAAACACATTCACATAGGAGCAAAGTAACAATACCCCGATATATCGATAAAAAGGAAAAAAGCAGGGTAAACTCTTGGAGAGGAAAAAATTTTAAAACTAAATTTTCCAGTATAATATAATTGGTGACATAATTAATGTCACAATTGAAATTGTAATTCAAACATTGAGACACCAATTAAAAAAGAAAACTAATTTAAAAATCACTACTTCTCTCATTCCATTCATAAATCACTTCGCAACCCCATTTGAGGTAACCTCCCATGGGCTGGAAACCTGTGCTCTATTAACTTGATTATCCAAAGTTGTTCATGTATCAAACTGCCTTTATATTATGTACCGTGTAGTGTTTTTTATTTCCAAAATCAACATAGTAATGACATACCAAATTGTTTTTATTTTAAACAAACCCCTTATTAGAAAATGCTAGAAGCTTGTAAATATTCAGTGATGGATCAAAACTACAATAAACAGCTTGTAAGGAAAGTAAAACTCAAGTGTTGAGGTTTTTTTCTACAGGCGGGTTGCTTAACAAGCATTTTACTAGGGATAAGCAGTGGAAAACGGAGCACCTATTAACAGTGCTGTCAAACCCAAGGCCCATGGACTGGTTTTAAATGGTGCACCAGAGCTTGTGGGAACTTGAGGTGCCATGAAATCGGATACTAAATTCTTCTCCTTTCTGCTGCTTCAACCGGCCTTGAAAATAAAAAAAAAAGGGGGAGGTCATGGTGTACTGTTTTAATTAGGAACTGCATTACTAGCGGAAAGATGAATTTGGAAACTTAAAATACAGTAACTTGATTTGTAGCTAGCTGGTCATTGTAAAAATGTCTGTACAACAACGGGACTGGTTTAGATGAACCAGATATGTGAGAACCACATGTTAAAATGACTGGGATTTATATGATGATGATGATAATAAGATAGGAGTTAACAAGATGAGATCTAGGGTACTAAAGGTGTCGCAAATGACTGGAGGGGAATGTGAACCAATTTAATAGGCAGTCTGAGCAGGTGTAGGCAGTATGTCCATCCTGTATGTTTTAGATGAAATCAGACTAGTACCTGGTATTCAGTCATCGTCGTATCTATAATATAAGGCATAGAAGGAATTTCTGTTAAAGAATAGTAATAGTAATAGTGTTTTGAATAAGCTTATTTTAGTTAGAACTGATGGCGCTCCTGCAATGGTGTAGAGAGTTGGCCTGATTGGTTTGATGATGGCTGACAATTGTCGAGACATTCAAGCGTATAGTATCTATCTTTGTATAATTTACCAGCAATCTCTATGCTCATAGTCATATAGCTGCTATTAGGACCAGGGTCCCTTTGACTTTAGATTTAGACTAACTGCTATTCGGATGTCATTTGTGGTCATGGGCGCCCGCAGGTAGGGGCAAGGTGGGGCACTTGCCCCCCCCCTCCCCCAGATTGATTGGATAAAAAATGTTTAGACAAAAAATTTATTAAAGTAAAGAGAAAATAAAGAGAAAGTAACTAAGCTGATGTCCTGTCCGTTCGTTCACCATGACCAAATAAATACGCTACAGTAAATTAAAACTACATTAAAACATGACTAAAAAAAATTGGTTTGAATGTATCAAAAGCCATTCTAGATGAGAGAATATTGTTCAAATTTGGCCAGCACAGTAGCTAAAAAATTTTTTCCCCCCCCCCCCGGAAAGGTTAACCAATTTTTTTGCCCCCCCCCCCCCCAGAAAGTTTTCTGCGGGCGCCCATGTTTGTGGTAGTTCGTTTAAGTTAAACTGAAGAAGTAAGTTTACAAATATTTAGTCGATTCAATTATCTTTTATTTGATACGAAATTTTGTCTTACAAAAGCCAACAATAATATTTTTAATATTTTTTAATACCAATCTCTCACTTCTGATAACCGGGTCTGAATAGCCTTTGCCTTTCAATTACTATTACTATGACTATTAGTATTAGTATACAGTATTAGTATTAGTATTAGCCACTTCGATTTATTAAGTATATAAGCATGAGATAGGTAATCCGAATCGCGCTAAAATAAGGTATTAGCCTATTTTCTGAGGTTCGATTTTTTTAATTTATAAGAATGTGATTCATAGTTTATATTACCACTCTATGGTTATGGTATGAATATAATGGCCTACCATAATTACTAATAGTTACAAACCATTCAAAGAAAGTTCAGACTATTTTTTTACCGAGAGCAAAGATAGATCGCAGATATTTTCGAGATGCGGTTTTCCTTTCAAGTCAGTGGAGATAATACTTTGAAAGGACAATTTTAAGGCTATTTTTTACAATTTATTTTTTTTATGCAAAGGTGTAACGAAGTTCTGTGTTAAATGATTTATTGACAAAAAAACTTCTTTCAAAGTCTCATCTTTAAAAGATATTCATGGAAGTGAATTACTTGTGGAAAAAACTGAATACTTTATCAAAGTAAAAATAAGTTTTTTTAAAATAAAAATTTGCTGTCATAATCTCAAGGATATTACGGAATGTATTAGAGTAGATCTGCACGGTTAATTTTAACTAAGAACTACAGTGAGCTAAATAATTTTATAACCAACAATTTTATTTATACTATAACTTAATTCATGAAAGTTTCATTTAAAATGAGCATATACTAACTAATGGACTTAGACATGTTGGGAAATATTTCATCTCCCAATGTGGGGCGTACCCCCCTCAGAGGGTCTATTTGAAAATTATGAGGGGGTGTGAGCCTCTAGTGTATGAAACATACTTTCGTTTGAAGCCCGTTGTTGTATTTTAGGCAGGACACATTTTTTAAAGTTAACCACTGGTTTTTTTTCATATAGGCCTAACTTTGAAGGGACCATCAATAAATGAAGTCATGCTGATTTCAGACCCCCTCCCCTGTCCCCGGGGTCACAGATCCGACACGCTTGATATGCTTGACGCCATTTATGGATTGCATCTTTACACCATAATACAATGAAATTGATGATCTTTTTTTTTAAATACCAGCATTGAGACATTTCTTTTTTTTTTACACTTCCACTAAGAGTTATGGGCGGGGTGTTGATATTAAACCTTTGTGTGTGCTTAGATAGGGAGTGGAGCAAAAAAGAAAAAGACCAAATGATGGAAAGTGTGAGTAAGCTTAGGCCAAGCGTCTATTTAAATGTTTTACATTAGCAAATGTTTTGGTTGTGTTTAAAACTGCTAAATGTTAATCAAAATATCGCACATCTTTCGTTTATATATATATATATATATATATATATATATATATATATATATATATATATATATATTATAGATATATATATATTTTTTATTTTTTTTTTTTTTTTATTTTTTTATTTTT